AATTCCATTATAGATTAATTGGGAGAGAAGTGACATGTTTATAATGAGTTTTCAAATCCATGGATCTGGAGTATTTTTTCATTAATTTAAGACCTCTTTTAAGTCCTTAAATTGTTTTACAGTTTTCTAGGAACATATCTTCGCCTCTTTCATTAGATTCACTCTTAGATACCTCATCATTTCCATTGCTACTATAAATGAGATCTTCAAAAAAATTACATTATTTTAAAAAAAATCTTATTCTTTACAAGGGATATTTCTAACATTTCACCATTAAATGTGATGCTCACTGAAGGTTTTGTTACACTGTTCATTGGGTTATAGAAATTCCCTTCTCTTTCGTTTGTTAGCTTTTATTTTTTAAGCACAAATGAACATTGAATTTTATCAAATGCTCTTCTAACATTTACTAAGGTGATCATATAGATGTTTCTACAGATTAATGTGATAAATCAAGATTTTCTAATATTATAGCATCCCCAGTTCTCAGCATAAACTCTATCTACACAGCCAAGGTGTACTGGTATTTTTATCCATAGTTGGATTCAATTTGCTATTATTTTCAGAAATTTTGCAAATATATTTCTAAGTGAAATTGGCCTATAATTTTTTTTGTTGTTATTTAGTCTATGTCTGGATTTGGAATTTAGACTGTACCCTGAACATAAAGAAGGTGGAGAGCTTCCCTTATTTTTCTATTTGCTGGGTCATTGGATCCTATAAGCCTAGTAAAGTGTTTGTACGTAGATTTTTGACTATTTTCAATTCAGTAGTTCTTTTCAGGCTTTCTACACTTTCCTGAGTCAATTTTGAAATTTGTATTTTGAGAAAATTCTTTCTTCCTAGTTTTTATATTTACTGGCACAAAGTGCATTTTCTATTGTAATTTTAAAATCTAGTATTGGTAGTGTTAAAAGCTGTGGTAATATTGGTCAAGTGTTAAAAGCAGTGGTTCAGAAAAAAGCATATATTCGAATATGCTTTTATTTTGCCTTTTTCCTTGCCAATCTTACTACAGCTTTTAATACTACTGATACCAGAGAACAGGTGTTATATGAACACTGTTAACATTTAGTTTGAAGACAAAAAAATACGGTGAATTCCTGGAAATAGAGACTGATGCACTTGGATGTGAATTTTCAACAAAATTCTAAAATTACTAAATTTCATTATTATTAAAAGGATAGCTTTGAAATCTAAACAAGAAAGTAGTAAAATTGGAAAGCAACAGTACCATTAATTCACAAGTTATACCAAACCTACATATTTCTGTTTGCTTGATAGAGTTACTACCTATTAGGGATATTCCTGAACATTTCAACAAAACTTCAGACAAAGCATCCCAAGACACCCTGTGGATGAGATGAATAGATATGGGATGGGTGATAGGCAGTACTTTAGGTAGATATTTATAATTCTTGGAATGGTAATACTCAAAGAATGGTGATTAATGGAACAAAATGAACTGTGTAAGACCTCTACCCTTATCCCATTCAAGATTATTGTTAATTAAGGAAGGAAAAAATGTTTATCAGTTTTGCAGATGACACAAAGCTGTGATGTCAGCTAATATACTGGATGAAAGAATTAGCACACAAAAAGATCTGAGCAAGCTAGAAAGATAGGTTGCAATGAATAAGATATTTAATATACTCAGACTTAAAAAATCAATCACACAAGGAACGGCCTAGATCAGGGATTGGCAAACTACTGCCTGTGAGCCAAATCTACCCTGACACCTGTTTTTCTATGGCCCATAAACTAAGAACGTTTTTTACATTTTAAAATGTTTTCAAAATCAAAATATTTTGTGGCACATGAACATTATATGAAATATGAAATTCACAGTTCAGTGTCCATGAAGTTTTATTAGAAATGGCCACACTCATTCATTTATATATTGTCTAGAGCTACTTTTGTGCTATAGTGACAGAGAAGAACAGCTGTGACAGACTATAAGGCTCATAAAACCTAAAATATTTATTATCTAGCCCATAAAAAATTTGCCAACCTTTCATCTATAACATGTAGAGGATTAGTTGATTGCAAAGTCACTGTAAGGCAAGAGTGTACTATATCTGCCCCCAAAGGTAAAGGAATGTTATTTTAAATTACATTAATGTAGCTAAGAAGGAACTACATTCTACCAAAATCTTTGAAAACCAACTAAGGGCCAGGCACTGTGCTAGTAATGCAAAGACACTACGTAGTAATCTTTGACTATGTAAACCTAAGACAAAATGGTGACTTAAGAGTTGTTTTTGCCTTTAAGCTCAGAGTCAAGGAGGATGGACAAACATGAAACTAATAATTTGTTATGTGCAAATAGTGTGATCCACATCTAGAATACTGTGTTCAGTTCTAGGTGGTATAACTTAAGTAGGACATTATCAGGCTTGATATTGTTCTGAGGAGAACAGAAAGTTCATGATGATCTATAAACTGTTACATGGAGGGAGTTAAAAGAATATCGTTTCAAGAAGAGATACTTTAGTGAGAGAAATGTGACTACAAGCTTTAATATTACAAGTCTTCACAAATGGAAAAAGGATTTAACTGGACTCAACAAATACAAACTGTAAGCAGGAAGACATCATAGATATAAGAACTTTCCAGCAAAGTAAAGATTTTTAATCTTTTCCATCCCTGAAAGTGTCCAAGAAGAAGACTAGGTGATAACCTACGGAGGAAACCAGATAAAGAACTCTTGCACTGGGGCTCTTTTAGCCTGAATGAAATTCTAGGAAAGGTAGATTAGAAATAGATAATGAAGAAACTTGAAAGCCAGGTAAAGATGGTAGGCTTTAGCCTATAGTCCAGTAGTTCTCAATTGGACTGGGGGTGATTCAGCCCCCCAGGGGACATTTGTCAATGCCTAGAGCCAGTTTGGCTGTCATACTGGGGGTGGGGGGGTGATGCTATTGGCATCTAGTGGGCATCTCATGATGCTGCTAAATATTCCACAATGCACAGGACAGTCCCCCAAATCAAATAATTATCTGACGGAAAATGTGAATAGTGCTGAGGTAGAAAAACCCTGTGGTAACCAACTTGGCAGTGGAAATGTGGGGGTTGGAGACTGAAGGAGAGAATTTGCTTTAAAAAAGTAACATGTTTTAGGGAAATATATCTAGCATTGATGTGTAGTAGATAAATAAGAGCGTGTATTCTCCAAATGTTCAGTTCTTTTCTGACATCACATTCTTACCATCTAAGTTGTCTGAAGGAAGCAAACATGTACTTTAATACAAAACTCATTTCATACCTCCTATAGCCACCAATACCCTTCCTTTTTCCTGTGTTGGGTGGAATTATTTAAATAACAAGTAAGAAGCGGCAAAATTGGGGTTCACTTTAAGGTTCCTTTGTTGCGCTTAATGCGAAAGAGGCACACCAATCCCGAAGAAACCCATAACACAACTCAACAGATATGCTGCTTCCTTAACTCCAAAATGCAGGTTCAGGATGTAATCTAACCCCCCATCCTGGGATGCCTTACCTAACTCACACGTGTTCACTCAGGGCCTCAGTTCATCAAAGGTGGTGCACTCTGGGGTGCCATCCTCTGCATTTTTAAAACTCCCTGACCCTGGACTTCCCTGATGCCTTATCCTCCTCTAAACCCAGTGCCATTTACCCAACCCTTTCACCTCCAGTTCACGTAACCTTTCTTTCCAAAAAGCTTTCTGCGCCAAGCCTTCAGTTCACTTTCTTCTTGTGGTCAGGAAAGAGTACCCCTTGCGTCTGGTACTCTTAGAACCAGACTCCTCAAACCCTTTCCCATAACATCATCCACTGAGAACTTTTGTGTAAATTAGAAAACGGCCATCCTCTGCCTCCCCAGGGCCAGGGCCTACAGCTCGGTATCACTTGAAAGGCAACCAGCCCTGACACTACCCTTTCACCTCCGTCCCACACCCTTCTACTCAGTTCAAGACCATTTCAATAGCTCCAAGGGCCCTAAACACATAGTTTTGGACGCCCGGCCCAAATTACATAAAATATATGAACCCACATCCTACATCAAATATAATTCTTAAGTATATGGGTTACGTTCCAGTTAACAGGTTACATTTGGATACATTTATTAATTTCTATTTGGAACTGATTTTCCCTTTTGGGGGTCAAAACATTATTTCTGGCTTCCAGAAAGTTCGTGGGCTGGCACTAGTGTCTCTAGGACTCAGGGGAGTGAACAGACCTGCGTCATGCGTCAGTCTTCCACCATCCCGGTCACCTCACTGCCCGCCCACCGTCCGCCTCCGCGCCGCGCGTCTCCTCACAACCCCAGCCACGCTCGCTCTCTCCCTCCTCCACCAGCATCCCCCACCTCCGTCGGCCTCGCCCAGCCAGGCTTCCACCTCCCCCGGTGCCAGCCGAGCCCGCCGAACCACCCTGCTCGCCTGGGCCTCCGGTTAGCTCTAAGCGCGCTGATTGTCGGGCCTCGAGGTCTCCCTACCGCCCCGCCCCTTCCCTCCCCGCAGGCCTCCGCGGAGTTCGCGGGGTCTCAAATCCTACTCCCGGCTCTTCGCTCCACCCCGCCCACAGGCTCTGCCCCGTCCCGCCCCACCCGAATGTAGTTTTGTTAAAACCAGGCTTGTTATTTTTCACATTTGGATAGGCCATAAGTCAAGTGACCCCCCTCCCGCCCAGCCTCCTCCGAGATCCCAGTCGCGCACAGCTGTACTCCCGGTTCTACGCTCCCAGTCTCCCTCAGGCCCCGCCCCCAGACCACGCCCCCGTGCTCTTCCTTACTGCGCGGGCTGAGCTCCGCAGCCCCGCCCAAGGGCCTTTCCCTAGGCAAGCGCCTGAGCACGCGCTGCTTACCCTCCCCCAGCTAACCTGGCTCCCTGGGGCTTCTGAGACCCACGGGACCCGCCCTCGCGCGAGCACGCACGCGCAGTCCCCACCTCCCCCTGCTCAGAGCCCTAGGCCCTCAGGTCGCCGGCCCCGGGTCCGGCCCCGCCTCCAAGCGCGACCCCGCCCCTCATGCCGGGTATCGCGCAAGCGCGCCTCCCCTGCCCAGCCTTCCCCCGCCCCCGACGGCCCCGCGGTCCCAAGGCGCAGGTCGCCCCCAGCCCCCTCCCTTCTCCCGCACGCACTCTGTCCCACCCTCCCTAGCTTTGTGCCGGGGGCGCGGAGCCGCTTCCCCCTTCAGCCGCGCCGCGGGAGGAGGGAGCCGTCAGCGAGGAGCTGCCGCTGGCTGCCCCAGGCAGGGGCACAGGTAGGTGGCGGCCGCGGGCTGGGCCGCTCACCGAGCCCGGGGCTGCTTGTGGGGGCGGGTGTGAGGTTTGAGGGAGGGGTGGAATGGGGGGAGGGGAAGACCGAGAGGGACGGGGCTGGGGTGTGGTTGGGTGAAAGGTGTGAGGGTCTAGGCTTGTCAGAGACGGGTTTAAGGGTGAAGTTGGGGTGCTGGGGTAGTGTATGGGGGCGTGTGAGACTTGGGGTTCGGGGCCTGGGTGGGAAAAGGGAGCAGGATTAGCTTGGGTGGATTTGGGGAGGGACATGCGTGGGAATTTAGAGAGAGAGGGAGAATTGCAGTACTGGGGAGGGGGAAAAGTGGGATTAGAGGAGTGCAAAGAGGAAAGGATCTAGGATGGGAATAGGAGAAGGGGTGGGGTTTTGGGGGCAGGGAGAAGTTGGGGCTGTGAAGTTGGGCATAGTGAGCGTGAAGGAAGGAGATTTTGAAGGTTGAGGGCAGAAGACAAGGAAAAAGATGGAGAGTTTGGGGTCCTGGGAGAGGGAATCTCAGAATGGGAGGAAGGGAGGAGTACATGGTGAAGGACAGAGGAAGAGTGCATGGGGGTTAGAGAGGGTGCGGGTGGAATGGTGTGGGGGGAAGGAAGGAGAGCCAGGTGGAGGTGGGCTTGCAGCTGGGCGACAGGGAGCCGTATTTCAGAAGGGGTGGAAGGATTGGAAGGGCGTGAGGTTTGAGAGGTGGGGGCAGGGGAGCTTGGCGTGGGTGAAGGGGGCGGATTAGGATTTTTGATGTGGAGATTGGATCTTGTGTGAGAAGCTTAGAGTTGGCAGGTAGAAAAGCTATGAAATGTCAGGGTGTAGGAGAGATTGGCCTGTTCTAAGAGGGAAGTAAGGAGCTAGGTATGGGTGAGAAGGCAGGTAGGAAAGTGCAAGTTATAGGACAACAGAAATGAGTTGAAAACTGGATAATGGTGGTGACCCAGAACAATAAACTTGAGATTGTTAGTTGGTTATTGGTGGTTTGGAACTAGTTTCTGTTCAGGTTTTTATGTTAGAAACTTTCTTCAGAATACTGCATTTTCAAATAAACCAAGGGTGTCTGCAGCCTTGGGATGACGGCCATGGATTGACAGGTGTTTTCCTGGTGTGTGGATTTGGGTAATTTCTGCCCTGGCAGAGGAAGGAGGGGAGGCCTCAGTGTAGCTCTGTTCTGGCTCTGTTCCCACCAGCTCTTTCCTCAGTTGTCCACTGTTTTTTTTAATCTCCTCCCTCTCTCACCCCCTCCCCCCTAGCTTGAGTCAGTGAATACCAGAGGGATCCAACAGGTGTGTGAGATTAATTTTTAACATTTTTTTATCCTTAAGGCTGATGTCATATTTTTATTCTTGAGAGACAGCATCATGCAGTGGCAAGAGCTTGAGCTTTGGAGTGATACAGCCTTGAGATTGAATTCTGGCTCTGCCACTTATTAGTTCTGTTTCTGAAGTAAGTTACTTTACGTCTCTGAGCGCCTTCATCTGTTAAATGGCGATCCTGACTTCATAGGATTGTTGAGAATTACAGGAATCATTTAATATAGTGCCTAACAGTGCTTGGCAACTCAGTGGTAGCTCTCACACCCACTATTGTTATCATCATAATCTTACTATGATTAATATTCCTGGGGGATTGTTAACTTACTTTACCTACTAAAGTTAGGCGTTTTCTTCTCTTTCTTTTCAAATTAGATATCCATAGACTCAGCTCACAATTTTAATTATCTGCTTCCCTGACTCTGTCCTTCAGTCCACTTGACTGGATAGTCATGAGTCTTGCTTGCCAAACTGGCTTCAAGATCTAAAAAGTTGTTAAGGTTAGTTATCAATTATTTTATCTTGCCTCTTATTCAAAGAGGCTGAAGAGAACTGAGTTTTTAATGTAGTAAGGCTACATCTTATTCATCTGATGAAATGACATGCTTCATGGTAACTTTGGCTCATTTGTGGTGACCAAATACTAGAACATGCACTATTGTAATAGTTTTCTATGAGGTTTTATGGGTTACAAAACTCCCTCTTTGGAGACAGGCTCAGAGGCTATCAGAATGCCCTTGTTACTCTGTCGCTCTAATATGAAGTACAGCTAATACAGATCTCCGCTGGACATTGTTATTCTTTCACATACCAATTACTTAAATTTTCCAGTTCGTGTAGTATTTGTGCCATGGTATAGAATAGGCCCTGTCTCCTGAGGGGCTCCCTTATATTAGACCACTCTGTGCAACAGCCAGGCACAAGCAAAGTCAAGTTACAGAAGCTTTGTTTGGAATTTTCTCACCTTTTTGGTTCTTAACCTTGAAAGGCTTAAACATTAATTCAATTCTTAGATCATTTTATAGTACTTCACAAACTCTCAGGAAGCTCCTTATTGTGAGAGTGCAAGAGGCACAAATTTAGTGGTAGAAATCAAAGGTCACCAGGATTTCCTGACCATGGTCAGTTCCTCAAGTATCATAGTTGAAGAACAGGGAGCCCTTGGGGTTTCTGGACAGATGATGTGGGTTTACTCTTCAGGAAATATTTGATTTTTTTCATCGTTTAGAAAGAGAACTAGCATTTCATGAGTAATTTAAAAGTAAAATATAGCCAGAACTGTGCCGTTTTTGAAGATGATCCATGGAAGCCGAAGCTGCCAGGATTTGGGGCAGCCTGGGTAAGTGTCCTCACTTTGGTCCCAAGCTGCTCGTGCCCTCTGCTGGATGGAATCAGATTTTTCTGATTTTCACCAGAAGTGGTCATCCATTCATCCATTTGTCCATTTTACTCCAAAGTTTATGGAAGACACTGTTGCAGGTGATGGTTAGGGGTACTACAGATAGGCAGACCCTATTTCATTGCCAGGAAGTTTATAGTGTGCTGATCACTTATAATATGTTATCTTCCATGGAATTTGTCTTTCTACTTTTAAAATTAAGTCATTCTTGTTTGGGGCCATATCTGGTATCTACTTTCTGGTCTACAGGTAGAGTAGGACTCTGAATGTCCAAATCCAGAGATAAAGACCGAACGGGATCTGCTTTATCTCCTTATCAAGATTAAACTCTGTGAGACTGAAGGGGCCAGGTGCCTACCCCTGGAAGAAAAGCTTAGAATAAGTGAAGTGTCTCCTCAGCAGCAGGCACTGAATACTGCCGAGAGTATGGCTTAGCCAATTTTTTTTTCTGGTTTTTAGATTTTTTTTTTCCTCCCTGGTAGTACCAGTAGGAATATACTCCCATCATCCTCTTTGCTTCTACCACCTGCAAAAGGGTCTGGTGAGTTGGGGAGGAGTCTGCAGCTGTTGCCTGGTAGAGGAGCTGGCTCCTAGCAACAGTATCAACAGGACTTGCAGCTCAGAGTACTAAGTCTGTCCCTTTGAGGTCTCACCCTTCCTCTTCATTTGGTTCAGTAAATATCTGTTGAGGACTTACTCAAGCTAGGCTCTGTGTTGGGCCTGGAAAAGAAAAGAGAGATGAATCAAGTTAAGTGTCATGTACTCGAAGAGCTCACAGCTTTGGGAATATTAGCAAGTGAACGGACAGTACACAGTGCGAAGTGCTATGTAGAAAGAGACATTGGTGCTCTGGGAAAACCAGACAGATGTATGCACTAGTGCAGGGGTTAGGAAGTTTTCTCAGGAGAGGGATGGTGGTTGAGCTGAGTGTTAATGATAACTAGAAGTTAGCTAGGCCAGGGAAGCAGAGAAGGGTGTTCCAGCCAAAGGGAGCAGGATGTGCAAGGGCCAGTGAGACAAGAGAGCACAGCCAACTTACCTGGGTCATATGGCTTAGCCAGAGAGTAGGGCATAAGGAGATGAGCAGGGAAGAGTGAGGCTCTCGGGCGTGGCAGGGCCCTCTTTTCTGATGTGCTTTTATACACATAATTATTCTCAGGAGAAACATGGATCATACTGTTACCCACAAACAGGATCAGTGTTTGATCTCCAGAGACTCAGCATTTTTGATCACTGACTTGATTGATTGTTGACACTTTTAAGTGGCTTCAGAGCTACATCCTAGCCCTGCATTGATGCAGAAGAAGCTGGGTCTGTTCACTCTAAAAGTCAGTGAGAGTCTTTTAGAGATAATAGCAGCTTTCTGACCTATATTAAGTTTTACCTAAAAATTGTAGCAATGATAATCATATACTTTCATTTTATTTAACGTGGCAATTTCTCGAATATTTTGAAACCTCACAGTTCCTCAGGAAAGCAAGTGTTTATTTCAGTTAGCGCTTGGACACAAAATGTCACCAATATGATTGCATAAATACCCTGCTGGTTTTTGTTTTTTGTTTTTTTTTTTAACCCTGCTGTTTTTGATATGTTGCCTTACTTCGGAAGTGCCAGCTAACTGAAGAAGTTAAGGCACAAGAGCTAACTAAAAGCTATTCTAGCCCTTGGAAGCATCACACCTTAATAGCTTTTAGTTAGCTCTTGTGGTGGAGGTCTTTATTTGTGGATCCAAAAAACCATGTTGCTTGTGGTCTGTGTAAGGTTTAGCAAAGGAGTAAACTTTAGTTCCATGAATATCTACTCAGGGACTGTTACATGCCAGAGCACTATGTTGTTAGGGTGGATGAATTAAACATGATCCCTGCTCTCAAGGAGCTCAAATCAGCAGAACACGCCCAGAAATAAATCAGTAGCAGAACTGTGAGCCAAGTGCAATAAAGAAATGTGTGGAAGGTGCCAAGGTAGCAAGGGAGTTATTAGTTTCTAGCCTTTGTTCTGTGTGTAAACATGTTTAAAAAAACAGAAATAGTTGGACTTCCCTGGTGGCGCAGTGGTTAAGAATCTGCCTGCCAATGCAGGGGACACGGGTTTGAGCCCTGGTCCAGAAAGATCCCACATGCCTTGGAGCAACTGAGCCCGTGTGCAACAGTTACTGAGCCCGCGCTCTAGAGCCTGCAAGCCACAACTGCTGAGCCCATATGCCACAACTACTGAGCCCATCTGCCACAACTACTGAAGCTCGCCTCCTAGAGCTCATGCTCCGCAACAAGAGAAGCCACTGCAATGAAAAGCCCATGCACCGCAACGATGTGTAGCCCCTGCTCACTGCAACTAGAGAAAGCCCACGCGCTGCAACGAAGACCCAATGCAGCCAAAAATAAATTAATTAAAATAAGTTAATTAAAAAAAACAGAAATAGTAAATTCCACGTGTACAATTTGTAACTTGCAAATCAATAAAAAATTTTATCATTTTAATGGCTGCATAACATTCCATGGTATGGATGTATCATCATTTATATAATAACACCCTTGTTGAACATTTAGGTTATTTCCGGTTGTTTTGCTAATATCAGCTGTGCTGCCATGACTTTCCTTGTAGGTGACTCTTTGAGCACTTCTGTGATAACTCCCTTAGAGTGAATTTTAGAAATGAGATTTGAGCTGGCTTTTGAAAGATGAATAAGAGTTCACCAGATAGACAAGAAAAGGGGAAGCATAGGAAAGGGCATTCCAGGTCGAGGTAATAGAGGTAACCTCCAGTGCCAGAGTTCACAGGCAACTGGTAAGCTTTGATTCCCCAAATCAGCTACAGGGCCTGCCTGGAAAGCTCATAAAGCTCTGGGCACAGCAAGATGAAGTTACACGTTACAAATGACATTTTAATTGGATTTGATTTCCTTGTGCCTTGCTTTTACAGTTGCAACCAAGGCAATGTCTTACTACCTCAACTCAGAAAACCACCTGGACCCAGGGCCCGTCTACGTGCGAGAAAATGGGCAACTGCACATGGTCAATCTGGCCTTGGATGGTGTCAGGAGTAGCCTGCAGAAGCCAAGGCCTTTCAGACTGTTTCCCAAAGGTTTTTCGGTGGAGCTTTGCATGAACAGGGAAGATGATACTGCACAGAAAGAGAAGACTGATCATTTCATCTTCACATACACCCGGGAGGGGAATCTTCGGTACTCTGCCAAATCCCTCTTCAGCCTCGTCCTGGGCTTCATCTCTGACAATGTTGATCACATTGATTCCCTTATTGGCTTTCCTGAGCAGATTGCTGAAAAGCTGTTCTCTGCTGCTGAAGCCAGACAGAAATTCACAGAGCCAGGTGCAGGGCTGAGGGCTTTACAGAAATTTACAGAGGCCTATGGAAGTCTGGTGCTTTGCTCCTTGTGTTTGCGAAACAGGTGGGTGTTCTGATTACGATAGTGAGTATTTTATTGGGTGTGTGAATTCTGTCAAGCTCTGGGGCTTAGTGGGCTTGGGCACTTTCCCCATCAAACAGCCCTTGAGTTTAGAATTTCCATACACGAAGTGGTAGGCCATTTTGAGAAAAGTCATTGTCTTTCTCCCTTCCCTGACCCTCCCAGACAACACTTAGGTTTATTTTGAAAACACTTTACAAGGATTAGTTGATTGCCACAGCTCCCCATTAGGTAATAAATACTCCTCTACCAACTTTTCTAGAAAGAGAAAATAGAAAAGAAAATGTGATTTGCTAAATATCTCTTGGTATGCTCTCGGGGATGTGAAGATTAGTAACCAGAGTTCCTGTCTCTATTCCAGTTTTCAGACCACTAGATATTGAGCATTAGATAAAAAGCAACTTTAGAAGAATAAGTGATTAAAATTTCAAGTGTCTTAAAGTTTGGAAATTTTCAATAAGGTCCCAACACCAGAACCAAGGTCTGTCTATTTTCTAACAAAGCAGATGTTTTCTCTTATGACCTGCCTTTGCTCATATACTTTTATTGATTTATTTAAAATTTTTTATACCACCATTGTGTAAAATGACTTTCAAGGCATCTACTAATTAAAAAGAAAAACTTGAAAAAATTCACAGAAAAGAATTTAAACACAAACACAAAAAGGTATAACGTGGAACATAAGCCTCCCTCCCATCTCTCTCCTGTTTCCCTTCCCCAGAGGCAACTACTGTTATCAATTTCTTTTACATAATTCCAGAGATATTCTGTACATATGCATGCATGTATAGCTGTCCCCTTGGTTATACAAACGACAGCACAGTGCTCACACTGGTATGCACTTTGCTTTCTTCACATATTTTGAAGATCATTTACCATCAATATGTGTAGATTTTTAAGATAGCAGTATAGTATACCATTATATATATCTTTATACATTTGGGAATATACTCTATAAATTGTATTCTGTTTTTTCCTCCACGTACCATTATACCTTAACTATTTCTCACAATAGGGAAGATGCTATTTATCGATTTGTGATGTCTGCACACTGTTCCAGTGGTCAAATTGGATGAGAATAGCACTTTCATTCACATTTGATGAGCACATAAATTAATGTAGCATTTCTGGAAAGAAGCTTGGCAATATGTATCAAAAGCGTTAAAAATATTCATATCATTTGTTTGACACATTAATTCCATTTATTAAGAGTCTGTTCTAATTTCTAATGTAATAATCAGATATGAGAACAAATACATAAGGGTGTTCATTGTAGTACTATTTGTAATAGTGAAAATCTGAAAGCTGAATATCCAACAAGAGGAAATTAATTAAGTAAATTATGGTACATTCATATAATGAAATAGTGTATAACTTTTAAGATAATATCCAAAGATCATTTAAAATGGTGTGGTACAATGTTCATTATATTATAAATGAAAAAAATAAGAAAATTATATGTATGATCCCAATTTTGTTTATAAAAAAAATAGAAAATTTTACATGTATTGCATATATAGGGGGGAAAAAAGAGAAACCCACTGAAATGTAATTTATGAGATTGAAATTGATTTTAATTTTCTTTATAGTTTTCCAGATTTTCTTAATTTTTTTTCTCCAAGGAATGTGTATTACTTTTATAATCAGAAAAATATAAGGAACATTTTTAACAATCTTTTGGCTCATATTTTATTGCAACAATTACAAATAAGACAATAACTAAGACAATGCTGCCTTATTCAGATATAAGAGTAAGATTTTTCAGTTGTGATCAAAAACTTTCCTTCTTTTGAATCCTCAAAGGAAAATAGGAAGAAGGCAGGAGGTTTGGGTTTGCATTTGCAATTCTCAGCTGAAGCTGCAGCAGCAAAGGTTTTACCAGCACGAAAGGGTTCAGGTCATGGGGAAAGAGCTTGAGAAAATAATTGAAAAATAAGATAATCGTGTAGGTACAGGCACTTGCTTTGTGGGGTTGGGTCACAAAGCTGCCTGCCAAAAGGAGAAGCCAGTGTCTTTGCAACTGGGTTTCAACCCTACAAAACTGTCTCCTCCCTGTGATTTTTAATCCCACCGGTGGTCACAGGGAGGCAAGTATTTGCCTTAAAATATCACCCTGTGTAACCGAAGTAATTATAATAGCTACCATTTAATGAGGGCCTGTGAGATGCTGTTTACTTTTAGAACATTTTTTCTGATTTTCTTAATAGTCCTTAAAGGAAGTGATCATCAGCTCCATTTTCTAGCTGGAGAAATTGAGGCTCACAGAGGTTAAGTAAGTTTCTTACAATCATGCAAGTAATTAGCATTGCTAGAATCCAAACTCAGGTCTGACACTAAAATATCTGTGCTGTTTTTGTTGCTTCTCCACTACACTCTTCTGAACTTTTTAAGGGGCAAGTTGTAAGACTAATTTTGAGCGAGACCCTAGAGCTTCAATTACGTCCTAGATAAGCATGTAGTAGTGTCTGTGGTTTTGCATGTTCATTTCTCAGCCTTGATTTTTGTAATGTTTGTTAATCATGTTATATGTTGTTGTGTCCTTCCCAGATAACCCTTGTTTCAGAATTACTAAATATCTTTTGGTTAACTGATCAAAGGATGTGTGTTTTCCTTTCTGTAATTGCCAGTAATTCCCCAAATTCCCATTAACCCACTTCAACTCTGTGACTGGAAGATGGAAAACAGCAGCTTTATTTACAATGCAATTAAAATATGTCTGAGTAAATAAGGCTCATTTGTGTACCCAGCTGAGCTCAGTCACCAGGCAGCTTAGAGGGGGTATCAGTGCCCCAGGCCATCTGTACCCAGCAGTCAGGCCAGCCATCAGCTTCAGTATATCTTATTCTGATTGGAAGTAGGAAGAAAAGAGATCTAACTCCCTTCTTGTCCTTGGATTATTCAGTGCTGTTTTTGGTAATTATGATTCTGGCAACAGTAGAGAAATGTGAACACTTTTAAGTATAACCCCACTGATCCTAGCTTACCATCTCGCTGTGGAAACTTCTAGACATCCATGAGAAAAGTGGATGAGAAAGGCATGCTCTTGCCCACAAGCATTTCCTTGTTCTCTTAGACTCCTCTCCTGTTTCCTGTCACTTCTAATCCCTTTTCATTTTTTCTCACTGACATCATATGAAATAGATGGACAACTAGAAAGCAGGGTGGAGGCCATAGCCTGGGCTGTGCAGTGTCTTTTTGATCTTCTTTTCCTCTCCAGAGGCCTCCTGATACTTCTCGATAGCAGTTTGGCAAGGTGCCCCAGTGTAATTAAAGTGTTCATGCTCACAGGTTTGCCTTAATAACCATCTAGTTTAGAGTGAGTTCTTACAATAGTCATGCTGCACATACTTTTGGAGTAAAGTTAGCAGGATAACAGTGGCACAGTGACATGGGCAGCTACTCAAACTTGTGTTTGAATAGAAAAGATAATACCTGACTGTCAAATATATCTTGGTATGTTCTTGGGGATGTGCTGGTTAGAACCCAGAATTCTTGGCCTGTTCCAGTTTTCAAAGCACTAGATACTGAACATTAGATAAAAAGCAACCTTAAAGGAATGAGTGATTAAAATTTCGAGTATTCTAAAGTTTGGTAATTCTCTGATAAAATCCCAGCACTGACACCAAGGTCTGTCTGACTTCCAACAAAGCAGATTTTTTCTCTCGTGTCCTGCCTTTGCTCATATGTTTTTATTTATTTTTTTAAAGTTTTTATTCCACCATCACGTAAAAAGATTTTTAGCTTAAAAAATTCAACCTGTGCCTACATAGTAATCAGTAAAGTCTGCTTATTACATACTACCTTGTCCTGATGGAATGTTGATGTGTCACAAAGCCACAAACGGTGATGTTTTAAAAGAAGGAAAAGAAAAGCTGTTGATTGCTCTCCACGCCCCACAGATATCTGGTGATTTCAGAAAAACTCGAGGAGATTAAGTCTTTCCGGGAGCTGACCTGCCTGGATCTGTCCTGTTGCAAGCTTGGAGATGAGCATGAACTTCTAGAACATCTCACCAATGAGGCCCTATCTAGGTATTGACCTGCCACCATTTGTAGATGAATTGTTTTGTTTCTTTTTTTAAAGGATGATCAATTGGGATCATCTTGAAGAATGTTGATTACTTCCCAATCCTGTGTTTATTTGCTAATTTTTTTTTCTAAAACGATTCAATCTCCATTTACTCGGTACAGGCAGTATAGATTGGACAACTCTTAGGAAAGTAAGTCACTAGGTTCTTTACCTAAATAAACTTTATTTCAACATATAATACTTGACGCTACCTGTGTTGAAAAATGATTTTTCCCTGGTTTATTCTAGCAAGAGATGAGAAGTTATACAATTTCTACAATCATTACCATTTTCTATTTTAACTGCTAATGAACTATAAATTATTTAAAATGTGGACTATTAAAAGCCAAATAAATCCTTTTCAAGAACCATAATTTAAAGAAATCATACAGTTCATACCATTCACAAATAGTCCGACTGATCTCAGTATGGCCAGCAGAGAGAAGGCCAGATGGATTCCTTTGTGGTTTAATAAACACCCAGAAGGATAACAGTACTACAGACCTGAGTCTAACCTGTTTCTTGGGGCCTGCCTAGGACAGTGACACCTACCTACTGCCCTGTACAAAGGTTTTTTTTTTTTAATTTTATTTTTTTATACAACAGGTTCTTATTAGTTATCTGTTTTATACATATTAGTGTATATATGTCAATCGCCATCTCCCAATTCATCCCAACACCAGCACCACACTCGCACCCCCGCCACTTTCCCCCCTCAGTGTCCGTATGTTTCTTCTCTACATCTGTGTCTCTGTTTCTGCCCTGCAAACCGGTTTGTCTTGTACAAAGGTATTTTTGTACAAGGTTAGTAAAGGTTCGGATTTCTTGAGTGTGGGACAGTGGAACACATTAATAACACCAGTTACAGGTTAGCTGAATGGATTGGGTTATGTCTGTACCTTATAAACCCAATCTGAGAATTAGACTTATAAAATAATTAGAATGAAAGAATTGTGCTTTGCATAAAGAATTCTCATAGGAGTTCTTAGCAGACTTTCCCAGTATATTTAGAGTGGTTTTGGTTTTCACACAGCATTTGTCAGGAATGCAGCTTTTGTGATAAACAAGTGTATTTATGTCCTTAATGCGGTCCCTGTTTACCTCATTCCATCATATACCTTTAGTGCCCTCTGCCACCTGAGACTAGTACTACATGACACTTTGATCTGTAAGTTAACCCTCACTTAGCAACTGAAGTAGCACCGAAATATCTTTATTAAATGCATTTTGTGTGAAATAGCAGAGGTTAGAAGATATATTTTTGAATGAAATTTATGAAAGTATGTTCTCATGACTAGACTTTCTCAAATGCCTTTAAGTAATTTACTTACGGACTTTGTTTTCTAGTGTAACTCAACTCCACCTGAAGGATAATTGTTTATCTGATGCCGGGGTGCGGAAAATGACGGCACCAGTTCGAGTGATGAAAAGAGGCCTTGAAAATCTAACGTTATTAGATTTATCTTGTAAGTTTTAGAAGTTATAGATGATTAACGTTGGAAGAATGGACTTAGAAATCATTTAGTTCTTCCTCTTTGTTTGAGAGGTGATAAAATTGAGGGGAGGTGACTTTCTTAGGTGCCACAACAAGTTAATGGCAGAGCAGGACCTAAAGCCAGAGGCTCTTGACTCCTGGCCAAATACCTTTCCTGGCATGGTGCCACCTCTGTAAGGTAGTAAAAGCCCTTACAGGTTCACCCATGCCACTTACTCTCTGCAGACAGGGCAACCTTTCATCATATTCACAGCATATATGAAGGACGTTTGGCTCATTTTTACTTTCTTTGAGTTGCTGATCTATAGTGTCTGTCAGCTAGGTCATTTTTTATCAATAATTCCTTGGTGAAAATCAGGATGAAATTCACAGTTTTGATAACTTGCGCAGAATGAACCAGTTATTGACTCCAGTAGTAGAAAGATGGTAAGATCATTTATGATTTAACTGAGCATTTATTAAATATGTGGCAGGATGATATGGTGTCAAAAAAATAGAAGGAGCAGGGGTTTGAGGTCAGAGGACACTCCTTGCTCTGCTACTGTGTGCCCTTGTGCAAGTTATTTAACCTCTCTGAGCCTTGGTTTTGGCTTGTGTGAAATGAAGATAATAATGAATGCCCTCCCTTCCTCCCAGGGAAGTCTGTTCATTTAACAAATATTTTTTGAGTGTCTGCAATGTGCCAGGCACTGTGCTCATGGTCTTTAGGACTCAATGCTAAATGCAGTACTCTCTGATATGAGGTGATATGTAAGAAAGGATTTTTTAAAAAATGCAGGTTAGTAAGACATTAGTAGTCTCTGTGCCTCAGTATCCTTGAAAATCTTTTTAAAATAAATCTTTTACTTTGGAGGTAAAATGGCTGTGAACAAAGTCTAATATACCATTCTAATACATGTTTACGTATGTTGTTTTCATATGGTTCCAAATTAAACCCTTTGGAATAACTATCTGGTTCATTAATTTTTCTGCTAACCCCCAGCTCCTAGAAAGTTAAAGCAGTGAAGGATCTTAAGGATCATCCAGCGTAGCTCCTTCACATTACAATAGGAAAGATAAGATTTCTATATTCAGTTTACTCTGAAAAGCTTGTTCACTCAGTATTTTCTATTTTATCAGTTTGGCCTTTTTTCCTGAGCTTATTGTTGGCATTGTAGCAATACTTATAACTATAACAGAATAATATCTATGTTTTGACATTTAGGTAACCCTGATATCACAGATGCAGGAATTGGATACCTCTTTTCTTTTAGAAAACTAAACTGCTTAGATATCTCTGGGACGGGACTCAAGGTAAGACTTCTACTCCCTTCTCTTACTTTTCCAGACTTACAATTTGATATTTTGCTTCTGCTAATTGGCATTTAGAAAGGACTGGTATCTGTGATGGTGTTTATTTCCTACTGAAAGCAAGTAGGAGTTAACCAGATGTGTGTGCATTAGTGTTCTGGTTTTCCCTTACTAGGACGTCAAAGCTGTCAAACACAAGCTTCAGACCCACATAGGTCTCGTTCACTCCAAAGTGCCTTTGAAGGAATTTGATCACAGTAACTGCAAGACAGAGGGCTGGGCTGACCAGGTAAGGCAGATATTTCTCCCCTACAGTTAATGTGGCTTCATTTTAATTCCAAGTGTCTTATTCAACACTTGAACAAATGTTAATCCTCTTGGTATTCCTTGGCTGAATTGTCATCTTTAGTCGAATCCGAGATACTGATGGCCTTGTAACTAACCCAGTTACTTAAGAAAAAGTGTTAGATGCCAGTCCTTAAATCTCATGCTCTGATTGCTAGATTGTACTTCATCCATATGGGACCTAGAAGAAAACGCCTTCTTATAAATGACTCAGAAAATAAATGAATTCTTGCTTGCTATGCAAAAAAGCAGTATGACCCAACTTCACAAGGACAGATTCTCTTAGCAGTGTGTGTATACTGGAAAGAGAATAAGTCACACTGATAATTCAAATCTTAACTCTTTC